GTCAGTATTTTGAAGGACTGATTTTTACGTGGAGGGTGGATGCATATTAAAAATGCAGATTCCTTGGCCCCACCCATGGAGGTTCTGATTGAAAAGATCTGGAGAAAGTCCTGAAAATTTACGTTAAAAAAATCTCCCTGAGTGATTATGGTGATTTTGAGGAAGGTGTTCGATATTGGATGCCCCTGCCCTGCCCACTGGCAGGGGATTCTGTAATGACTTCAATTCTGAGGCCAGCAGCTGGGAAGATTAAGCAAAATTCAGTTAGCAAATGCTGTAGGAATTCACAGAAATCTTCTATCTAAGGACAACTGTGGAGTGATACTTTTTCAAAACTCCCTTGAGAACAAACAAAAAATCACCATCTTTGGCATAAATTCAGCCCGCTAAATCATTAACCTTCATCTAATAACTTACAGGGAGCATAGTTTCCAGAGTAGTTATTCTGGTGTCTGGGAAGTTCAAGATGATTAGAAATGCCTCTGAGATGCAGAAGAAATTCATTTCTGGGAGGCGTTGGGATGTGGCAATAGCAATACAGCCTGACAGGGATGCTGGCTGGGCCCTGGGGTGGGGTGTCTTCCCTGTCCTTTATAACTCATGCTCTGGAAAGCATTCTTTATTGCAAAAAACGGTCTGAAAAACTCCTTAAAATACACACTGCCGGGCACTCCCTTCAGAGTTTCTGACTCTTTAAGTCAGGTTTGGGGCCTGAGAATGTGCATTTCCAGGTTCCCAGGTGCTGTTGCCACTGCCAATCTGGGGACCACACTCCCCAGACGGTCCACACCTGCTTAGGACATGAGAACTGAATCGGAATCACAGGTGTCCTGGGCTCAAGTCACAGCCCAGCCGAGCTGCGGCTGGCTGTGCACAAACTCGAGAAAGTCTTGTGTTTGTTTTCTTTTTAGCTTTTTCCTTTGAGATAATTTCAGACTTATAGTCACATTGTAAAAATAGTGCAGAGTTCCTATATATCTTTTATCCAACTTCTCTTCATTTAACGTCTTACATAACCATAGAACAATCATCAAAACTAAGAATTTAACCTTGGTATAATACTATTCTATAGACTATAGGATTTATTGAATGTCCCCCCAGTTTGTCCACTAGTGTCTATTTTATATTCCAGGATCCACTGAATGTATTTTTGTCATTCTTCCTTGGTCTCCTCCAATCTGTGAGTTCATCTGGCTTGTCTGTCACAGGCTTGAGACTTTGGAAGACAACTTGTCAGTGATTTGGTAGAATGCCCCTCAGTTTGGGTCTGTCTAATGCTTTCTCATGATTAGATTGAAATTATTGCAAAGGATGCCTCAGATGCAACTGCATCACTTCAGGTGGCTCACAAGGTGGGTTATGTACCGCTGGTGATGTTAATTCCACTCACCTGATTAATGTGGTGTCTGCCAGAATTCTCCACTGTGAAGTTACTCTTCCTCTTTTCGTAATGACTAAATATTCTGGTGGTTGGTGGAGAGTCTTTGGGACTGCAAATATCCTGGTTCTGCTTAAACTTTTACATCATCAATTTTAGCAACCATCAGTGGGTCTTGTCTTTACTTTGGTGTTCTAATGGTAATTTGCTATTTCCCTAATGTCTTCTACACTTATTAATTAGAATTCTTTTGTTTGGAAGAGTTGTTCCTTCTCTCCCATTGTTTTAAAATGTTAAAGATCTTTTTAAAAAACATTTCTTGAAGGGTACGTTTGCTGGCAATGAATTTGCTAAGTTTTTGCTTGAGAAAGTATTTATTTCTCCTTCCCTTTAGAAAGATTTTTGATGGATATAGAATTCTGGAGTGACAGGAGTTCTCTTTCAAATTTCAGCACTTTAAAGATATCATACTATTGTCTTATAGCATGCATGGTTTCTGAGGAGAGATCTGTTATAATTCTTATCTTGTTCCTGTGAATATAATGTTCTTTTTCCCCAGGTGTCTTCAAGGTTTTTTTTGTCTTTTGTTTTCTGCAATTTGAACATGATATGCCTAGGTGTATGTGGGGTGTGTGTGTGTGTTTATATATAAAACTTGTTAGGTATTCTATGAGCTTCTTGGATCTTGTCAGCTATTATTTCTTCAAATATTTCTTCTGTTCTGTTCTCACTCTTTTCTCCTGGGATTCCAATTACTCATGAGCCAGCCCACCTGATATTGTCCCAAAGCTCTTGGATGTCATGGCCTTTTTTGTTTTTTCCTTCACACTTTCATCCCTTTGTGTTTTACTTTGAGCAGTTTCTATTGGCCCATCTTCAAGTTCATGGATTCTCTTCTTGGTTTTGTCAGCTGGTGGGTGAAGGCAATATTCATCTCTGTTTCTACATTTTTTTTTTATTTCTAGCATTTCTACTTGATTCTGTCTGGTAGTTTCCATCTCCCTACTGAAATTACCCATCTCATCTTGCCTGATGTCCACCTATTCCTCTTGAATCTTTAACATTCTAATAATAGTTACTTTAAGTTCCCTGCCAGATATTTCCAACATCTGTTTCAAATCTGAGTCTGGTTCTGATGATTGCTTTTTCTCTGGGAGATGTTTTCTTTTTTTCCTTGTTTGTCTGCCTCGTACTTTTATTGTTGTTGTTGAAAGCTGGATATCTTGTGTATATTAGTGGAGAATAAGACAGAAGTTTTTTTCACTTTAAAAATTGAACTATAGCTGATTAACATACAATGTTTCAGGTGTACAGCAAGGAAATTTAATTATACATCTATATATAAATCTATTTTTTTCAGCATCTTTTCCATTATAGGTTATTGTAAGATACTGAATATAGTTCCCTGTTTTATACAGTAGGCCCTTTTTGGTTGTCTGTTTTATATACATTAATCCTAAACTCTTAATTAATCCCTCCCCCACTTTTCCCTTTGATAACCATAAGTTTGTTTTCTATGTCTGTGAGACTGTTTCTTAGAGTTTTTATGCCTGGGGATGAGCATGTATTTCCTACTGATAAACGCTTAGTGTGGATGTTTGAATTAATCTAGTAAGGAGTTGGGCTGGAGTTGAGATTCATGGTTGCTGTGGTTACACTCAGGGCACCGCAGGCCTCACATTCCTGGAGCAATGCCTTGTGTTTCGGATGTAACTTGGTTTGCCAGAGCAAGGTCTGTTTGATCTTGAACTTCCAGTCTTCTCCCTGCACCCTTCTCAGAGAGGGTCTCATTTTGGACACTGGATCCTCTTAGCAGGATGCTGCTGATACCTGCTATCTGAAGCTCGTTAGCTTGGTTGGGAGCGTTTCTGTTGCTTGGATTCAGGCTTAGTTTCAGGGAGGCGCTGTGTCCTTGGGCGTCAGGGGGACGCTCTTCTCAGTCCTCCTGCCCGTCCCCTGGCTGTGCCTCTTGGTGCAGCACAAATTCCTGTCTCTCTCCCAGAAGCAGGGACTTTCTTGCTATTCCCTTCCCCCGGCTGCGGGAGTTTTCACTCTGCCCTAAGGACAGCAGACTTTGTTGCCTACGCCTGCCCCCTATTAAGGCTTTAGCCACATAGCGGGGACAGGAGAGAAGGGTCCTGGTGGAGTTTCTCCCCCAACGTGGCTGTCATTCCCTTCCCCCAGGTTTGCACCACAATGGACACTTTCTTGGCGCTCTTTCTGGTCTTTTCTATGAGTGCTCAGTGGGGTTCATGGTGTAAAGGCCTGTAAGAGGGTGTGGGCTCCCCCAGTTTCTGTGGCCCTCAGGGGCTTCATACATCCCACCAGCTACACTCATCATTCACCAGCTCACCAATTACTCTGGCTAAACTCTTCTACCCCAGCCAAGTGAGCACTTGCGAGTCCTCTCCCTCCGCAGAGATCTGCCTTCCCTCCCGTCTGGGGCCAGTGGGTTGCTCTGCTGTTCCCAGTTACTGATGAGGAAACTAGGCTCTGAAACATCAAGTAACTTTCCCACGTTCATGTAGCCAGAATGTGACAAAGACAAAATTCAGAACCCAGTCTGTGTGCTTTTGACACTTATTCTCTAATCTACTCCAGTCTCAACCCCAGTTAATGTTTATGTAAAATGTGATTATTTATTTGTATTATTTCAGAAAAGATTAAAGGCAGTTTGAAGATAAGTGCCCTGCCTACTTCACAACATGGCTAAGGCAGGCCAAAATATTCCACCTGTGAATAGATAAACCTTAAAAACCATAAAATTCTAGCACAATATACAAGATATTATGACAGATTTTCTGTAACATTTTACTATGTTGCACCCTTCATTTGGCTCAGCTAATACTGAAATGAAAGGACTCAGTGGAACAGAAATAGAGGCATTGGAGTCTTTTGGTTTTAACATAAAACAAGGACTGAGAGTGATGCCATTTAATAACTGAGAACCATTAATAAAGCAGCGTGGCAAGTGCTGGGTATCAGGTGCAAGGACAGAATGAAATCCTTCACTGTTGGAGGTAATGTCCCTCCACCTCTGCCCACTGCCTGCGCAGCTCCTTAGAGACCACAGAGCCCTGCCCTGAGCATCACCTCATTTGATGTGACGTTATCACTTCCACATCACTGGTTCAGAGGGACTGGGGCACAGTGAGGTTGAGAGACTTGCCCACCCTCTCTCACATCAGAACTATCAAGGCTGGTGTTTAAACCCAAGAACAGTTCTTCATCAGGGGGTTGGCATGACCTCAGAAACTGCTGCACTTTGTCACCTTTATGTAGCCCCCGATGTGGGATACACACCAATGATTTGGGTGGAATATGAGATGATTTTAGGAGCCCTCAGGCTTGGAATGAATTAACATGGAATCACACAGTGAGGAAGTTATTCCCTTTCCCATTCTCTTCTAGTCTTTTTGGCCACATCATGAAGAACATCGCTGTTTGGGGCCACTGGGTCTTTAATACCGCCCCTACACTTGCCAATTTCTCTTTAATCAAAAAAGAAAAGATTTCAGGATCAGACCCTTTCCTAGGATAGAGGGATCTGGCTATAAATTTGATAACATAGTTTTATCTTTATTTTATTGATTTTTGCAATGACTGTTTTTCTATTTATGGCAAGTGATACTAGTCTTCCATTTAGGTATTGAGACAAAGTTAATTTTTTAAAACAAAACTAATTGAAAAAATGAGTTGATTAAATTATTAAGAAGATACCATTTCAGGTAGTATGGAGATATGGTAAAACTTATGCAAGCATGTGGGATGATGGTCATGTGAGAAACCCTTGTGTCTCGGCTTTGAGGCCCCTGCATTAAAGGCCAGTTCACCTTTGTAGCATCACAGAGAACATAAGACAGTCAGCTATCAACCCAGCCACGGATGAAGCCCAAATGCTTCATGACGCTGAGCCAGCGGGTCCCTTTATCACTCCAGGGAGTCTCTCAGTTTCTAAACAGAGAAACTTGTGTCAACCTCAAGGCTTTCTACAAACAATCACTCTCTTCTTGGCCAGTAAGCTGGCAGGGGAGCAGAACATGATTTTGGATGGGGAGGCCACATGGTGACAGTTCAGAGAGGACGGAATAGAAAGAACTGGTCAGGAAGGTGAGAGACATGCCGAGTGGGGGCAAAGGTGACAAGAGAAAATAGCGGTAAACGTTCTTACTCTAGTGAAGGCATGAGGACCCGTTTGGAAACTTGACGAAAACTATGATGCTCATTACCCAGGGAAATGCACACATATGCTCATGTGTGTGTTTCCTCTCACACTCATGTATACACACGTAACAATATTAGGGAATTTGTGGGTTCCAGGTTTTGAGCTGCAGCTTTAATATTACTATCTAGAAATCCCCCTGTTGACTGATTCATGCCTCAGGGTAACTATAAAGAGACTTAACTAAATAAGGATTCCCAGTTTTGCAATTTTTTTGCACATTACTCCCACCCATCCTAAATGCATCGCACGTTTCTCTCCTTACGCTGGTTCGCAAATATTTCCACCAGGGAATCTCCAACCCAGAGGGAGCAAACTCATTCTCTGAGACTCTGAGAGGATTCAGGAAACTCATCACAAGCTCAAAAAGGTTTTCCTGTTTATCTTAAAAGTTTATGCCAATTTTCGATCTCACTTAAGTAGAGCCATGTATTTTGACATAACATCTCTCTGCAAAAATCATTGAGTAAAACTGACCCTCTAGGAAGATAAGCCTTGCTTTTATTGATGCTCCTTGGCCTCCTGGCACACCTCCAGGGTCACTAAGGACCCAGATTGGAGAAGTAAGGACCTGCTTCGTGCCAGTCCCTGTCCCAGGAACCAGGAGATCCAGAAATCCCCTAGGGATGGGGACCCAACTCCTCCCCACATCCCCACACAACCTAGTGCAGGGCAGAGCCCCTGGGGAGCTCGGTTTGTGACTGAAGGTTCCTAACAAGGGTTTTGCAGTAGCTCCAAGCTGCTGCCCATTAAGAGTGTTACAAGGTAATGGCTGAAGATCTCTGACTTTGGAGCCGCACAGCCCTAAGTTCAAAGCCCAGCATTGCTGCTTACCACACCTGGGCTGTAGGGCACTGCTCGTATCTTAAAGAAAATACTTGGGTCTGCCAGCTGGAAGAAAAGTCAACGCAGCCTGGAGAGGGAGCTGTTGAGGGGTTTCTGAGCATGGGTGGAGCATGGGTGGAGAGCCCAGACATCATCAGGAGATGTGGGTGACTCTCCTAGCTGTACCCCAGCAGCCCTGAGCGATCAGACGAGGCGCAATCCCTCCGTGCCTCTGTTTCATTGTGTCAAGAACAAGGGGGTTGGATGGGATGGTTTCTAAGGGTCCTCCCAACTGGATGCTTCCTGCTTAACGGTTCAGTTTCACCAGGCAGGATTTTTCTCGTCATTCCTGAAAGTGCCGTGTGTACACTAATCTTATCTTATAGAATCTTCTCCCCTGCATAGATGAAGAAGACCACAGCCCTTGTTCCCAGCACGGACGTTTTAACTGCTTGGGAGGTTATGTAATTAGACTTGTTATAATCCCATGAAGCAGAACCGAAACGGATTAGACAAGAGATGCCAAGTTTCATTATCTGGCCAAGAACGTTCCTCCAGCCAAGAATCCAAGATGCTGCTCACATCCCTAAAGGTTAATTCCTATTTCCTTTTCCTCTGAGTGCAGTAAATGCCTCTTCAATTAGGCACCCTCCCCTCAGTGTCCTTAATGAGCACTCATGTAATCTTTGTTAATAAAAGGATTTATTAAATTTTCAGTTCTAATAAATAGTCGGTCATCATCTTTGCAATGGGCTGCAAACTCTGGTAAAAATGTAATGGTCTCTGTGACCAAAGGGAACACGTGACGCTATATTCTTTAGTGACAAGGGTGAGTCTCCCCACCACCTTGCAGTTCTCTAAAGAACTGAAGCTGAATTTCATTTTCTTACCACATTGAGGTCCCACAGGTACCTTAGTCAGGCATTAAGAGCTTAAAAATCAAAGAAAGGAAAAACAAAAACAGACGCAGGTGTCAGGAGAATAGACGGTCTCCCCAGCCACGGCACCACGGATGACTCTGCTCTGAAGGAAGCCCAGCAAAAAGAAAGCCCAGTCGTGTTCTCCAACATTTACCCCCCTTTTTTGAAGGGACTAAGAGAAGCAGTGAATTCAGCTGTTCAGAATTCCAGGGGGAAATTAGGAGCTTCAGGACTTTTATTTCCAAATGACAAACAGAGCAGCAGGAGATCAAGGCTTAAAGAAGCCCTCCCTCTCTTAGGCTGTTAAAACCCTGGAGCAAGATGAGCAAAGAAACAACGTGAGGTCTTAGACTGCCTTTGCAGCTCAGCTTTGTGTGTGTGTGTGTGTGTGTATATTTGTATTGAAGTCTAGTCAGTTTAGTGGTTCACTTTCAAAAGACTGAATTTAGACTTCAAGAATAAAGCTAAGGAGGAGAAAGGCATCAGGGCTGCAGAGCCCTGGAAAGTGGCTGTTCATTGGAGACAAGATGACGAGATTCCTAAAGCTGAGCTCGAGGCTAGAAGGAACGGCTCCAGAATGAACCCAGCCAGGACGAAGAGCTGAGCTGGGTGACAGTCCCTCATTGTCCACTCTCTCCTTGCCTCTACCTGTCCCCACTTGTCTCTGCCAGCCGGTTATTCATTATCGCAAAGGCTCCTACCCCCCCTGAGAATTCATTGTCCAGAGACAGTGTGCCGGTCTGGTGCGGGCAGCCGTTGGCCGACTCGGACAGCTGCTTCTGCAGGATGGCTAGTGAGACCTTGTTAGCTGCCAAGAAGTCCTTCATGGAGATCATCTCCCCCGAGAGACGCCGCCCATCTGTGTCACTGTCTATGATGCCATCTGTTTCTATGGAGATGTTGCACTGGTTTTGGACACTGCCTGGCATCACCATGTTCCTCCGTGACTGCAAGAGTCTTCTTTGGCATCGTGGGCAGCACCTGCCATCCATCTTCCTCAGCATCCAGTTCATGGACTGTTTGATGAGGATGGAGATGACATTGAACAAGGAGTAGATGCAGCAGACGCCCATGAGGATGAAGACGAAGTTGGCGAAGCGGTAGAGGCCTTGGCTATCGTACTGGGCGTTCTGGCTGCTGACGAGGTCCCCGAAGCCGATGGTGCTGAAAGCCACGAAGCAGAAATAGAGCGCGTCGAAGTAGCTCCAGCCTTCCATGGAGGTGTACATGGCGGACGCGCCGCACGAGATGAGGAGGGAGGCCACGCACAGGATCAGCATGACGTAGTAGACGGAGGGCTTCCAGCCCGCCAAGCTGTCCACCTCTCCCTTCCCCGGGGTCTTCTCCTGGGGCAGCGCCCCTCGTCTCCGCAGCTGCCGCTGGCGGCACGATTTCATGACACAGGCGATGACGGTGATGAGACGCTCCAGGAAGAGGTTGAAGAACAAGATGGTGCTGGAGCACCCGATGAGGCCGTAAAAGATCAGAAAGATTTTTCCGCCCACTGTCACTGGCGTCGTCATCCCAAACCCTGCAGGAGACAAAAATCAGAGGAGAGTGAGGGAGGTCTTTGCCGTGAATGGCTTCAGAGTTGGCTTTGATGGCTGGCCAAGGGTAGTAAGAAATCGTTTCATAAGAGCACTCTGTCTTAGCCTTCCTAGGAACGAGAGGGAGACTCCTCACTTCCTGTTCAAGACACTGAGTGCTGCTCAGAAATGGGCCGCTGAAAGCCCACACGGTGCCACGTGCACGTCAGAAAAGGGCACCTCCTCCTCCAGGCGGATGCAGCCAGTGGAAACGGCTCGCTGATGAGGGTGCGGGCTGGCTTTCGGCCTCCTTTCCCAATTCTGCTAGATGTCCTTGCACAGCAGACGACCTGAACAACCACACTTAACAGACGTTGTTCAGAGAACTGAACAAAGGCTCATACAATGAAAAGTCCTATAGAGACTCAAAGGGATTCATTTATTCTGTGAACACTTACTGGCTGCCTTTCAGAATTGTGGCAAAAGACAGATCTTGTCCTGGCCTTCATGGAGCTGTCATCTGGTGAGGGGATTACTGTATTTTGTGATAAGTGTCATGCTGGAGGAAGTACAGGGTCCTATGGGAGCTGCTAAGAGGGAAACCCATCTCAGACTTGGGGGCTAGGAGGACCAAACAGGGAGACCTGAAGGCAAAGAGAAGTCAGGCAGACAAGGCAAGGAGGGTGTGTGTGGTGGGGGGGAGGGGGTGGTGATGGTATTTCGGGCAGAGAAACAGCACATTCCAGCATATGCAGAAATGAACAATTTGCTCATGATTTTCCCGTCTTTTAAACAAAATACTCATGCTTTGGGGGTGAAATTTGAGGTGCTGTTTGATAAAATATTAAATGCCTCTCTTGCCTTTGTCTCTTGCCGTTTAGTTTGGACCTTCTTGACCTTTCTGCCCCTGCACACAGACGTGTTACTAAGAATACCAATTGTAGGCAATGGATGTCACTAAGAAAAATGAAAAATGGAAAAAAAGCAGCGATACACTCAGGACTTCTCACAAGGGTCAGCCCACCCTGACGGATGTGAATTCCTCCTAAGCAAATCATTTAGTAAACATGAGAAATCTGATCTGTTTGTGGGGATGGACGTCCAAGTCCCTCTGAAAATAAACGCCATTCAAAAAAAAATAAGTGCTCCTCATGCCTCCCTGGGTTCAGTTTTTTCATTCAAGCCAAACCTCGTTGTTTCTTTTTTCTCTTTATTATCAAGTTCAGTTTCCTAACTGGGGCCCCAACCTTGGGATCTCTAGGATTCACCCATTATCCTCTCTCCTGATAACGCCCTGCTTGTCATCAAGCCAGCACTTTCCTTTGTTACTCTCAGCACACCCTGGGAAGTGGTCAGATCAGACCTTGGAATTTGCGAGCTTCTGGGATTATGACCTCCTGCTCCCTCAGCTGGAGCCAAAGGGCCACCTTTCCCAAACACCAGGATGTACACACTGTGTTACCAATCAGTTTTCCAATTAAATTCGATTTTCTTTCCTCAGCATACAAGGGTCTACTACATTAGGGTAGGAAATTAATAGCATCTAGACAAGAGGCTGGAGGAAAATACTGAATTTTGATTTTTAGCTGGATGGGATGGAGTGGAATGGACAGAAAGATTTGGTAAGAAAGGAGGGAGGGCCAGGGAAAAACTCCACTCGGAGTTACAGTCATAGCCGTTAATGGTAGAAAGTCAGACCATCCTCTCTTCACTGGAAACTTCTCTTTCGAAAATTAAAGGATCTCAGTGACTCTTGGCAGTGGAGGTCTCATTTATTAGATAACTTCATCATGATGTAAGTAGATACTCTTTACTGTCTTTTCTCTTGTTAGTATCTTTAATTCTTATCCCTAAGCTCAAATTGAAATGAGGTGGTTGAAGTAGTGGAGAATTAAAAAAAAAACTTACTGAGTTTAATGACTGAGCTGAGAGCTATGACTCTTTCTACCCAATCCAAAGAACACAGAGGAGTAACCGAGGTATTGAATGGTTAGTTCCTGATTAGCTAAGGGTGCAGGGGCACCTCCTCTGGCTCAGTGAATTCTTGAAATCAGTAGAACTTGTGAATGTTTCTGCACTAAGAAGATATAAAAATGAAAGCCAGGATCCTTGCTCCAAAGCTGTAAGGCCAGCAGAGTATTCGGGGCTCTCTTCACTGGAAGCAGAACTGAGGTAACAGGCAGGAAAAAGGAGAAACATTTATCTGGACCATTTATTGACCTGACAACGTTCCAGAAGTCATGAGAATGGGGAAGGACCAGAAATAATAGCAGGTGAATACAGAAAAAGGCATCTGTCGTGAGTGGCAAACATAGGGCAGCTCGATTGCTTTTCACGTGGAATCGACATCAAGAGATTTTGGAAGTCTAATTATCTGGCGTTTGGGCAGCTGGAGATTGTTGGTCCTGGTGCCTGTACTTTAAAATCTGAAATAAAAGGGGAATGTTAAAAAAAAAACAGATGTGTATGTGGAGGGGTGAGGAGAGGCACTTGCCAACAGTCAGAGGAGGACTTCCTTGTGTAACACAAGACTCAAGTAGGCAAATGCTTTCTTTTACAAAATCTCCCTTTCTGATCCCAGAAGGAACTTAATGATTTTCCTGTTGGAGTGCAGAGAAGCAGGAGTAATGAGTAGCTCTCAACCAAAGGTAAGAGTAATGATTTATTGAGCATCTGTTAAGTTCAGGGACCAGCACTAGGTGTCTGGGCCATACAGTGATGACGTGGAGGACTAGATCCTTGGCCTCCAGGAGCCCAGCATCCAGGATGGACTGCTGTCTACAAAACAAGGAGTAGTGAGTCAAAGTGTCAAAGTAAAGGCATGATGGAGCTATCCTGGCCTCAGGGTCCCGAAGGCAGCCTCACTTGGGATGCATGACTCAGGCACATACAGGTGCGTTGCTGACACCAGCTGACAAACTTGCTGAGCTGATTTTTTCCCAATGAATGAGACTTCTAGTGATTTTGCCACAGGTTCCAGGGACTTAAAAACCTGTAGATTCTATCTTTTTGGTTTGGTTTTGAAACACTCCATCTGAAGAAAGAAAGGATAATTTGTGACTGCTGATCCCCTACTGGATTTGCTTGATCAGTGCCATCTTTTCAATCAGCAATAACAACAGGAGATGGCACACGCGGTGGTGTTCCGAGAAGCAACGGGAGACAGCTTCCTAATGTTTGCAGTTAGAGGTGTTTCCATGCCTATTACTACTCTCGGAGCTTTAAAGTAGGTCAGCGATAATGTAGGCTTTTTCATAGAAAGTCTCCACTTCTCTGAGCCTCATAATACTGAGCATTACGGATGCCTTGGTCTGGGAATCAGAAGAATCAGGGTCCTCCTTCATGGAGGCATTATAAAAGGCTTGCCCTCTACCTGTGCTGGGGAGGGGTATTAATTAGTGGTCTTTAGTCTCTTTTGACAGATAAGAAAAAGAAGATTACGGAAGCTAAGTGATTTGCCTAAAGGTGTAAAGCCAGAATTAGAACCTAGTCCTGTCTCCCAGGCCTGTGATCTCGCTACCTGACGACACTAAGTGAGTGAAAGCCACTGTCAGGTGTACACCTTGTAAGATGAATTGAGGGAGGGGAATTTACCAAGCGTCTATGTTCCATGCTTTATACAGACACACACACTGCAGCAGCTGCCAAATCTGGTACCAAAATCAGGGGATTGGCTGACATCAGAAGCTGAAACTCTACAATCTTCACTTATTAAAACACGTATTTCTGAATGTGCCTCTTCCAATAAATGAAGTCATTAAATAAGTTTTTAAAATCCATTACATCCCATGCAGCCGGTTTCCCTATACTTCACAGGCACACAAATGAAACCGATTGTCACAGGTGGTGCGTTTCAATATACAATTTATTCCCTGGGCCTCAAGCCTGAGGTCATCTGATTGTGTCCAACTCCTGAGTCTGGGAGCAGATGAGTTAGCTGACTGGGGACCAAGGACGCATGAGTTTGATCTGGAGACAAAGGGACCGTGCCTGGTAGTCTTCTTTGGTCTAGCTCCCTTGAACCATTTCAGAACTGTTCTAATGTTCCTGTAAACCCTAAGGTGGCTCCTGGGACCAAACCAGGCTCCCTGGTGTCCTTGGGACCAGGAATGAAGCAACCAGGCACTGCCCGGGTCCCAGTCAACACCAATAGCGCCCGTCACTTGGACCACGAAGAGAGGAAAGCAGGCCTGCGTCCCCCAGGCACATGCTGCCAACTAAATATTCTTCATTTATTTTTAATCTGAAATACAGTTGATGAATATTACACAAATTACAGATGTACAGTATAGTAATTCATCATTTTTAAAGGTTATACTCCATTTACAGTTATTATAAAATATTTGCTATATTCCCCATGTTGTACAATACATCCTTGTAGCTTATTTATTTTATGCATCGTAGTTTGTACCTCTTAATCCCCAACCCCTATACTGCCCCTCTCCCCTTCCCTGTCCCCACTGGTAACCCCCAGTTTGTTCTCTGTATCTATGAATCTGCTTCTTTGTTGTTCTGTTCACTAGTTTGTTGTATTTTTTAGGTTCCACATAAAAGTAATAATCATACAATATTTGTCTTTTTCTGTCTGACTTACTTCACTTAAGATAATGCCCTCTAAGTCCATCTATGTTGCTACAAATGGCAACATTTCACTCTTATGGCTGAGTAATATTCCATTGTGTGTATGTGTATGTATGTATATATACATACATATGTCTTCTTTATATATACATCTTCTTTATTCAACCATCCATTGATGGACACTTAGGTTGCTCCCCCATCTTGGCGACTGTAAATAATGCTGCTATGAACAATGGGGTGCAACTACATATTCTTTTTAAAAATCAAGGTAAAAATGGAAAAGCTTTGCATTATATTTTTGAAACATACACAAAAGTAAAGAGAATACTACAGTAAACTCTTATTTCCCAGTTTCAGCAATTGTCAACATTTTGCCAATCATGTTTCTTCTATCCCATCCCATCCTCTTAATTTGTTGAGTATTTTAAAGTAAATCCCAGATAGCATGCCATTTCATCCATTAATGATGCATCTGTAGTTGAGGACTTTATTTTCCTAACATAACCACTATACCGTTATCACACCTGACAAAATTAATACTGACTCCTTAACACCAAACAATATGCAGTCCAAATCTTTTAAATATATATATATTTTACAGATCATCTGTATGAATCAGGATCCTAAAAAGGTTCATGCAATGTATCTTTTAAGTCTCTTTCATTTGTTAACAGTCTCCCTTCCCATTTTTTTTTAATGCCATAGATTTGTTGGCCAAATGTGTTTTGTAGAATTCAATCACAATTTTTTTCTAGAAACATTTGGGGAAAAAAAAAATCCCTAGTGTATTAGGAGAGTGCCCTCAGATACAACAGCAAACCTCAAACATCGCCTGGGGACGTACAAATCAGCATAAACTGTTTAGAAAGAAATTTGGGAATATGTATCAAACATCTTAAAAAGATATCTTTTTCTGTTTTTTTTGTTTGTTTTTAGGAATATATCCCCCCAATTATCAGAAGTATGACTAATTCTGCACACTGACATTCACCCTTTTAAAAGTCTTTACTTTTAATAATGAATATTCTCAGCAACCTAAATGTCAGATAATAGGGCAATGACTGAATAAAAGTAGCCATTAAAACAAAGCCATTAAAATTACATATCCAAAGAGCTGTTAATGAGTGGAGAAAAAAGCAGAGCTAGTGTGTGCAGAGTGACTCAAGCCTGGTACATGGAACATCCTCATTAAATATTTGTTGGATGAAGGAATAAACTTTACAAAACACATTTATGCAGATATATATATCTACACACATACATACATATATATATATATATATATATATATATATATATATATATAGTAGCAGTTAAGATGCTTTTGGCTGTCAGTAACAGCGAATCGTATATAGGGGTGGCTGAAGCATGAAGGGGATATATTATCTCATAGAGCATGAGGTCTGGAGACAGCGTAGTTCTGGGGATGGTTAAGGCGGTGGCTTTGGAACATGATCTATTTCACCCTTCTGGCTCTGGCTCCAACAACACATTGGCTAGCCCCCACGGCAGCAGCTTCATGAATTACCTCCTGGCACATCGATGTCCAGAGCCAGAACCTGTTGTCTTCCTGCCTTCCGTCTTTATCAAAGCAGAGAATCCTTCCCAGAAGCACCCCACAAAATTCCCCTTGGAAATCATTAAGCTGCACCAAGTCACGTGCCCACTTCTCAAACCAGTTATCTGAGAGAGGAATGGACTTCTTCTTAGACTGATCAGGGTTTAACAGCGCCCCCAAGGAAGAGATGGACCTGGCAGTGTCTGCCACAAGTGTACACAGAGAAGACAAAATAAAGGGAGAAAAAATTCTTAATCAGGTTATTTCAGGGTGGTGATTCTATGCATGATGTAATTTTTCTTAATGTTTTCTTTATGTTTTATATCTTTTGTTATTTTTTTTAATAGACTTTACTCTTTTAGAGCAGTTTCAGGTTCACAGCAGAACTGAGCAGAAAATACAGAGCTCCCACATAGCCCTCCCCACCCACACATATATACTCCCCTATCCTCTACATCCCTCATCAGTGTGGCATATTTGGTACAATCGATGAACCAACATGGCACATTATCATCAACCAAAGTCCATAGTTTACATCAGGGTTCACTCTTGATGTTGTACATTCTGTGGGCTTTGACAAATGCATAATGACGTGTAGCCACCACTACAGTATCATACAGAGTAATTTCATTGCCCTAAAAATCCCTTGTGATCCATCCATTCATTTCTCCTTTTTTAAAAAAATATTTTTATTGAACTATAGTCAGTCTACAATGTCTCGATTTCTGGTGTACAGCACAATACTTCAGTCATATAGAAACATACATATATTCGTTTTCATATTCTGTTTAAACATAAGTTACTACAAGATACTGAATATAGCTCCCTGTATATACAGTATGAAGTTGTTGTTCTTCACACCCAACTACTGGAAAATTACCGAGAAGGAACAATGGGATGTGACGCTGGCTTCTCTGGCCTCTGTGAGCTCTCCTTCCTGGTCCAGCGTTGTGCCGTGTGGCTCCCGTGTATGTAATAAATCAGGACTGCTCAGCAGAGCCTCAGTCCTGCAAGGGAAGAGATGCCTGGGGAGGGACTCGGCAGGCCCTTCAATTCTATCCAGGTCCTGGTGTCCAAGTCCTGCCTCTTCCCTGCATATTTGGAAATGGGCTGGAGGGATAGGTAAGTGAATTGCTATCTACTGGATGGGCAGATGGGTAAAACCTTGTCTTAGCAACTTATGTTAAATGTTTAGGAGATTGGACCCCGTCCCTTCAGAGAAAGAAAGTGCAGCATGTTAGTAATTAAAAAAAAAACACTTTTGGGAGTGTCAGAGT